GTGCTTAACTTTTTCCCAGGTGTATATATATATATATATAAATAAATACTAAACTTCACTTTCTGTATCACATGACACTTCTTCACTTCAAACTATTCATCTCAACATTTTTGCTACCCCTCCAAGGCACTGTAACTTTCCATGGAATTTTTCACTTGTACTATAAGTATCCCTGAGCTAAATTGTCAATTTGTACTGAAAAAGCTTTTTGCTTTATGGAGATATGAGCAGTTAAGTAGAGGCCACATGCCATGCCTCCCACAGACCATCCTGCTTTCAAAAATTGTCATAAAGTCTCTCTTATGTTTGCTATTGTACTACTTGCAACCAACAAAGTAAAGATTTCACTTAACTGAGAGCTATGCAAGTTTAAAGGCCATAAACTATGCAAATTTTAAAACATTTTGGCATCATTTCTTTGAATACAGTTGTTGGAGCTCTGCTTAATCAGATATGGGAATTATTTTAAGCCATTTCTATGTTAGAAAGCCAGGTAAATTATATAAGTTTTAGGACATTCCCTATTATATGCATGGAAATATTTCTTAATCTAAGTTGGATAACTGAATTTAAAAAAATATTCTGAGACCACATTATCATTATGTTGAATTAGGGAAATATTTTGATTTTGATGTTGACTTGGATTGTATGAAGAAGACAAGACTTCAGGTGTAAGTACCAAATTTCTTATTCTTTATCTACATTTTTTATTCATTTTTATAAGAATAACTAAAATGTAAAAAATCAGAAACTTAAGTGATTTTAAATGAGAAAAATAAACAAAATACTCATGATCAATGATAGTATATGCCAAGCTCAAGCACAGCTGTGTAATTTGAAATGAGTGTGTTTGTAACTGGATCTGAAGTTAAACAAAACTGTCCAGCATAGTAAATAGTTATCACAGTAGTTTGAGACTGTCAATGTTCAACTGTAAATAACAAAACTAAATGAAAAAATTTATTAGCTTACACTGTAAAAGTAAATATTGTGTAACTGTCTGTTACAATATACACACATTATAGAATTAACAAAAGAGAGTAATTTAAATATATTTTGTATTTTTTTGTTGTGGTCACAAGATTGGTGAAAAAACAGTTGTATAGAGAGAAAAATAACAGATAAAATAAAAAGATTTATTGAAATAAAACATTTGATATTTATTTAGGAGGTTTTAGAGGTTATGCAAATGAAAGGTAACATTCTCCTAAATTGAAAATGTATCCACTTATAGCTATTACTCAACCACCAGGGTTTTTTGCTTGCCCATCTAAGCATTAGTCTGATGTTTTGTTGCTTGCTCCAGTCTTTTGTACCCCACTCAATTGCCCTTCATGCACCTCATTCAGATAATTTTATCACTTTTTCAAGACTGATACCATCCCAGTCTCTAACACTGGCTCTTAGTTGAGAGGAAGGGCGAGAAAGTGTCAGCGAAGGTAAGTATTATTGAAAATACATTTTCAATTTAGGAAAACATTAACTTCCAAAATATACTTATCTCTGCTGCCACTTATAGCTAGAATCCCACATTGAGAAGGTGGAGGGGCTGGTGAGGGTATTATCCATACAGAAATCATCTGTATAGATCATGGGTGTAATCAAGATAAGAGTGGTACCTGAGTGGGGGAACTGCACTACATCCAGAACAGGTATGCTCTTCTCCCTGAACTTAGTTCCTGTATCAAGGGTAAAACAGTACGTGATTATTCATCACTATAGGCCAGCCCCAAAGAGGCAGCCGAGGTTCCATTACCTCGGGGTTGGAATTAAGAGGTCTTGGTCCCTATATCCCATGTTGGTAGCTAGGGCAATTGGACTGCAATGTTATATATAGCTATACAGAATCCTACCAAAAGTCATGAGACAAATATCTGATTGCAGGAAAATGGGTGTGATGATGAAATATGCAAATTGTTTGGTCTATAAAGGTCATTTCTAGCTTGTACGTCAAACAATGAGTGCAAAGAAAGAGCTGACAATTTCAGAGAGGAAGGATAGTTGGATGTCTTTTGGGGAAAATGTCTGTACATGCTATTGTGAAACAATTAAACATGCCCAGATTGACAATTGGCAACATGCTGAAGAAATGGAAATTCACAGGTGACAATGAGCCCAAGAAACAACCAAGTAGGCATAAAATACTGATTGACAGGAGCCAAGGAGCCTTGAGAAGGCTGGTTACCTCATCTAACCATCAGACTCTAGAGAATCTGTGTTTGGAGATGTGAGCAGCCACAGGCAATCCTCTAAGTGTTTTCACATATCAAGAGCTGCATGCCATGAATTTTCATGCAAGAGCTGCAGCCCACAAGCCATTGATAACAAAAGCAAATGCACACCATCAATTGACATGGGGCAAGGCACACCAAACCTAGACTGTGGATCTATGGAAATTGGTCCTGTGGAGCAACAAGTCATGCTACATGCTCTTTCACTCTGATGGGAGTGTTTGGGTATGGAGAATGCCTGGAGAGTGCTTATTACCTGAGTGTGTTGTCCCAACAGCGAAGTTTGGAGGTGGCGGTGCTTCTTGTGGTCGCAGTGCATGGATCCATGAATGCTGAGTCCTACATTGATGTTCTGAACAATTCTGTGTGTCATACATTGTGGAAAGTTTATTGTACCAGCTCTTACACCTCCAATATGATAATGCTCCACGTCACAAAGCAAGGATTGTGAATGCATGGTTTGAAGAGAATAACAGAACCCAAAATTCAGCCCGACCGAACATCTTTGGGATGAACTGGAATGCAGAATTAGGGCAAGGCCAAGATGGCCTTCTCCAGTAGTGGAATTTATTAATTCTTTAAAGGAGGAGTGGAGAACAATACCACAAGTTTTCTACCATAAATTAGCAGACAGTCTTCCATGATGCATTGAAGCAGTCATTAAGGCCAAAGATGGACCAACATGCTATTACTCTCTTGGAATAAAGACATTCTTTATTCA